GAGAGAGAGAGAGAGAGAGAGAGAGAGAGAGAGAGAGAGAGTGACCGCCGAGTCACTCGGATCTGAGCGATGGTTCACATGTGTAGAACGAATGGTCCTCCACTTTGAGCTACTTCGTTCGAAATTGATGAATGAATCTGATGTACACTGCCGTTCACAGGATTGATATTCACAGTATTCGTACTGATCGATTGGCTCAGTCAAAATTATTTCTGAGCTCGAATAGAATACTCTTGGAATTTCGTATTTTCGTTATTTTCATTATTGCCTCGACTGAAAATATTACCACTCGTGAAATTCCACACGCATTCTAAGAAATTTAAAGACTATTCTTTGAATTTCGTGAAGATATTATTGCTTTCCATTCGTTTTCAGTGAGATTCCATTCTAGGAGATTTAGAGATGACTTTCTAAATTCATTAGAATAAAATTCCTCCCATTCGAAAAACAGAGTGATCACCAAGTCACTCGAGCGATTTTTCACACAGCGCATTCTACTCTCTAAATCATAGAGTGAACATTTTCATCTGAAATTGAAGAGTGAATCTGACGTACTTCATCAAAGAATATCACAAGAACATATTTACTTTTTACTTGTTTTAAGTGACAAGATTTCACTTAAAAATATTTAAAAACTACTCTCTAAAAAGTAAAATTTTATTTGAAAAGCGGAGTGATCACCTAGTCGCACGAATTCGAGGGATTGTTCGAATGCGGAATGAATGTTTCGCTCTGAATCACCAAGTGAATACTTTCATCCGCAAGTAAAGAGAGTGAATCTGATATATTCCATCGTTGACAAGAACATATTCACTCTAACCGACTGAGACATTTTCTCCACCCCTTAGAACGGAGTCAGAATCCACTCTAAGCCTGAGTGAAACATTCACTCCCGTAATTTCGAGTGGCAGTATTTTCACCACCTCCGCTTCGGTGCGGAAATACCGTCGTTTTCCTCTTGTCTTGAGTGAAATTCCACTCCAAGATATTAACAGAGTAACAAAGCGTGGTACAATCGCGTTACGCCGTAACGCGACTCGCTGGTGTTTCTCTGCGGTAAAACTTCGACTACACCCAGTTCTAGCTTAAAGAGTTTTAACGGGGGCGATGAGGGAAGAGAAAGAAAAAGATTGGACGGCGTAATGAAAACGACGGATAACTGCTTCACGGGATGAGATATCTCCGCGCTTCTTAAACGGCCATCAGCTCCCCGGGTGTTTCTCTTGTCATCGAATCCACCAGCACGCGCTATTATCGCGACGCGAGGACACGCGAGGAACGAGCTGCGCAATTTGCCGTGCCGGCTCGCACAGCAGCCCCTCGAACGTGAAGCGAGACGGTCGGTGTTTTGATTGGAAACGAAGGGAGCTTCGATTTTGTCGGAATAACCGCGCGTGGAATAACTGCTCAAAACGCGGGAGTTGTACGTACACAAACGTGGCGGTACATACGAGATGCGCGTGCACACACGACACGGCACGAGATTGCGCCGCGAAGACGTGTCTCCACGGCGACTTTTTAGCGAGAGAGCCGCCCGGTATCGGAAAAAGCTGTGGGGGTAAGCGCGCCGTATACATATCGCATATACGTATACTATAACGTATATATTACGCGACAGAGGAAGCGCTCCCGGATTATTTCGCGACGTTTCCGAGAACGAGCGGCTGGTATTACGGTACACTCGTAATACGCAGATCCCGCTGTTCCACGCGCCCCTTTATTTTCCGCCTGATCGATACGCACGCCGGCGAGAAGCCATTTGCACTTGATACAACTCGGAGATTCCCGACTCAAAGGAATTATATGCGTTTATGCCTCCGAGGAGGAATTAATTCCGCTCTACAAGCCTAAGAACAATGACGTGTCGGCAACGTGTAACGCGCGTAATTATGCAATCTCTCTTGCATTCTGTGTCATGATTATGAATCTCACGTTACATTCGATTCGATACGACAGCGCGGGGTGATTCGTCCGGGAGAATTGCTCGAGGGAATTGGAATGTTCCGCTTAATTGCGGCATTATTTGGCGTGCAAAGTATACCCCTTAAATGATACAGGTTGGCTTAATTGACCTTTGAGCACGGAACGCTTCGGAAGTTTGTTTCAGGCCTTAGTTGCGCAGATATGTTATGCCGATAATTGGAAACTCGCCACGAATAATGACCTCCCTCGACATTTTCGATGAGCGAACATTTTCTCCAAATTACTCCGAGTAAACAAGTTGCTCAGAGTGACTGCTACGTAAAGTTAAGTTCACCAGACCTGTGAATCCACTCAGGCCCCAGATTCTCCAAAATATCTCGCACATTTATAGTTCATGTTACGTATACTATAGCTTTTCACTAAATGTCGTATGCGAGATATTTTCGAGAATCTAGCCCCATGTGGATAACTGAAATTTGTAGAAGTTAAAAAGTCACAATTCTTTCAACACTGAGAGAAAAATGTATGATATTTGGAACTATAATGGCATAGTAAAAAGATTATATTATAGTTAGGAATATAATTTTTTATAGTAAATGTTTTTTTATAATTTTTTATAGTAAATGTCACCATAATATTTGTAATATTTACAATAAAAGCATAGTATGACTGACCCGTGTAAAATTTTTACCAAGAATTATAATTATTTGAAATAAAAAATATAATAAGGTAGCAAATATCGAATGATAAGAGAAATTTTATATGGTCTACTATTTTATATAGTCAATACAATTGGAAAATTTGGCAAATATAGGTACATGTAACTATATTTCCAAAAGATGCTTTATCATATATATATAGAGTAATAAAATGGTGACTATAAATCTGTGTTCATTCTACTATGTCTTCATGTTTAGATGAACTATAAATATATGTTTGAGGTCAAAACGAACTATAAAATATAGTGAGATTATAATTATTCCAACTATTTTTTTTCTCTCAGTGAAAACATTCGAAGAAACAAAAGAATCAGAAACGTCGAGACAAGTGGACAAATATCTCGTCTTCAGTCCGACAAACCGCGTATTTTTAAACCCTTGTATAACCCCTTGTGTAAACCCTCCGCCAGTAGTAATTTCCAGCGCATAAATACGAGTTGAAAGCAAGTGACTCTATAGCCAATGAGCGAGAAAAGCTATCGGTCTTGAATCGAAACCCGCTCGATCGGGAATGTTTTGCTTTTATTCGCCCAGGTGACCTGCAGTTCCCCGCGATGAGACGTTTGAGCATAGCCACCGCCCACGCATTCCTCCTCGTGTATGCGACGACGTCGTTGCCGAGCTTCGAGTGCGTGAAACGTTGCTTCGAGGAAGTGAGAGAGCAACGACCCGACTTCCAGGTGCGTCGCGAAACCGATAGAATAAAGCCGATGGACAAGTCTCCTCTCGCGAGATCTCTGAATTCTTCATTGAGAAAAAGCGCTTGGCTAAAAACTATTAGTAATTATAGTTATATACAGCGAAAGAATTATTATCAAGGGAAACATTTCAATTTTTGTAGTAAGTGTTACTGTAGTGTTAGCGATAATAATCTTATATGCTATTATGTATACTTAATTATTTACTTAAGTAATACTTAAGTAATCTTATATTACTATTATGTATACTTTTTGGTTGGAACAACAAAAAGATATAATTAACACTATAAATGACGAACTTTAGCGAGATTGACGCTTCTGGCAGAACGACGAAAGTAAGAAAACGCACACGCTGAAAGTTTCTGCGAAATACATAGATATAAAAAGATATGTCTATAAAATGACACTTGCAGTCGATCGAGCAAATATATGAAGCACTTCCCGAACACTTCCCTTTTGCTCCAACAATTAATAAATAACCGTAAAGTTAACGACCCGCGAGCTTTCTTTCTTATCTGTCTTTTCTCGACTTTGTCAGCCGTTAACTTAACCGTTCCTTTCTCAGTGTTCAGATTAGAGATTTTACGAGGTGATAGATCCTTTAAGCACGTGAGAGATTTCGTACAGGACGCAATTTCGTTGCGACAGGAGGTGCCGATAGTCGTCGCTGGTAACAAACTCGACCTGGCGCCGGCACGAAGGGAAGTGCCCATCGAGGACGTCAGCGAGTGGCTGTTTTGCGAATTGCCAAAGCTGCGCGCCAAAGTGATGGAGTGCTCGGCGAAGGACGACTACAATATCAAGGATATCTTCAGGTGTTTCGTCACGTTATCCAGGATCGTGCCGAAGAATCCCCCTGGCGAGTCCGACGAGTCGGGCCTTAGAAGAAGATGTTCGGCGTATGGATCGCGCAGGTACCGTAATACTAACGTTATTCGTCCGTTTAACAACGCTGATGACTTCGATTATGTCGATCATAAAGTCATAAAGACTTTGCAGCTTTCACCCAGAAGCTGCTTCTTGAAGTGAATCAGTAATATTTTTTAATGATCAATTTATATCACAAAGACCTTCTAGATATTTAATCAAGCAAGTAAGATATATGTGTGTGTGTGTGTGTGTGTGTGTGTGTGTGTGTGTGTGTGTGTGTGTGTGTGTGTGTGTGTGAAGCTGCTGTCAAATAGAAAGTTTTATTTTAACAAAAAAGATTCTTTCAGTCAAAACTTTCCTGTATGAAAAGGACAACCGTTAATTTTGACGAAAATTTCAAACACAGATTTACTCAACGCAACTTTCAGGGTTTATGTTTTATGGTCCTAGAAACATAATGGCGAAGTAATTTTTATTGGCAATCTCTGAGAAAGTATACAAAATGGTGGAAAACCAATTTCGGCAGTGACAGATCTTAGCAAATATCGAAAAATTAATCGTCCATCTGGTCATCTGAATATATTTTCAGATGGCCGCTGAAACGATGGATGATGAATATGAAAGCACGCACATAGATCAGTTTAAGGAATATCATGACATTGAAATAGAAAATAATGAGGAAACTGAAATAAAAGGTGAAAATGATAATAAAGATTGAGGTTTTGTTAAAAACTAAATAAACCAAAGAATAAACAAAAAAATAAAAAATAAATAAAAATATGTAAACACATACACGAAAGGTGTAAATCCGACCGTGCAACTTCCACGCGATGCACTTGGATAATGCTAATGCCAGCGGTACTGTAATTTTCATTTTAAGCCTCATAACTCGAATAGTACTTAATGAAAAAATATTTTATTATAGTATTTTGTAAAGCTCTTGAGGTAAACTACAAGAATATGTATTAAAAAATAGGAGTTTAAGTTTAAGAAATTGAAGGTAACCTCTACGTGACCTTGATAACGCTATTCAAGGTCACACTAGTACTACTATGTAATGCGTCACGTAAAACCTTATAATTTTTGTATGAAATATTTTTTTCGAAAATGCGTATTTTTCGATATTTGCTAAGGACTGTCACTGCCGAAATTGGTTTTCCACCATTTTGTGTGCATTTTCTTGAGATTGCCAATAAAAATTCCTTCGCCACTATGTTTCTAGGACCTTAAAACATAAACAGAAAGTTGCGTTGAGTAAATATGTGTTTGAAACTTTCGTCAAAATTAACGGTTGTCTTTTTTTTGTTGACATAAGATTTCCTATTTGGAAGCAACTCCAACTAGCTATTGGCTCTCATAGGCTTTACTTACTTGTAGTCTCTGATTAAATCAGTATTATGAATTGGCAAGTTCTATTACTTTCTTGAAAATCCAAGAATATCTAGAGATATATGAGATAAGACTTTTACTTTCAACTGATTTCAGAAAGGCTTCTTTGTAATCGGCTTCAAAAACAAACTTTCAGTAAATAATTAAAAATGAAATAAGAAATTAAATTTGAAATAAGATCTTTTTTTTAACAAACATAAACCACCTTTGAAAGTCTCAAAAACTCTAGAAAGTGTGAAATAATTTTGAATCGATATTCCCGTGTATCCGCAATCCTATCTTAATGTTCTAACGACATTGGAACTTGGCGCGAAAAAGATAAATCAAATAGATAACTAACTATACAACCGCAGAAGGATAAACAATAAAAAAAAAATGTTATGTTAGGCAGTTTACCTTATTTTTCTTCTTTACCAATTGCAATGTTGTACTTATAATCAACCCACATCAATGCTTATAATTGCTTCTAATACTTATAAGTACAGCATTTCTCTGAAGAACCACCAATAACTATAAGTTCAACTTTTTCTGAAAAACACACTGATTGTACCTTCAAAAGCATAACTTTCTCACCAACGAGCCCATTCAAACACGCCCCTTTCCATGCGCGAATTCGCGCTGGGAATAAACTCATCGACAAATTGGGGCGAGTTTATCTTAACAAATATTTCGCGCCCACGGGTGAATCACGCTCGATCGATTAAACTGCTAAAAACAAAGCGAGCGTCACGTTCATATCCCGCGCGCGCGGCGGTTGACATGTCGCTTAATGTCGAGCCGCGAAACGCTGTCGAATGTCCGCGGAGATATTCATTAAACGCGTCGACATGTCGATAAAGACCCCAAAAGAAACTCGGACTTGGCGTGTGCCGATAACACGTGCTAAACAAGATCGGCAATGTGATTTTTTTCAAACGATCGCGCGCGCTCGCTCGGGATTTCCATCCAGCGAACACCGTCGGCTGCACAGTACCCCCCCCCCCCCCCC